CCAAATATTACGAATTTCAATGAGGTGGAAAATGGAGCGGCTGCAATGCCTAATGACACTAATGACGATTCTGCAATCTGAAACTAACCCCTCGGAGCCGGTGCCGGGGGGGAGTCCTCAGGGCAGGCACCCCTCCATCCTAAGCAAAAGAGCAGCATTCCTTAGGCAACAAGGTCAGGGGAGTGCGCCTCGTCCCGAACCCTTATTGACGCTTAGATCCCTGCCGGGGCTCCCTGACATCTCGTTGGACCCAAATCAAGTCGGCAAACAACAACGCCTGCAAGCTTCCCAAAAGCAAGCTTATGGAGTAGATCATTCGTAATCAAGCAGTCAGAGCATTGGATTCTTCCATATCTCCGAAACATGTACAAAAGTATCTGATGATTATCCCTGGGAGGGCTTTCGTTCGCAGGAACTTTTTTCCGAAGCTGTAGAGCGTGGCATCTGTCCAGGACTGTCTGCCAGCCAATGGAGTCCCGGCAACGGGACGGCCACATCACCGCAAGCTTCTTGGGGCCGCTCTCCACCTTCCTGCAGACGTGCAGATCTCATTCCAAATCTTCTACAATATACAACAAGCCAACAGGGAAGCTTCGTCACAAACTAGGAGAACATCTGGGAGGTGCAGGTGATGCGGAGGTCGGCTACTGTGCTATCCACATGAAGCCACTCCGCTAACTGATCGCTTGCTCAATACCAGACCCGTCTTGATTCGGTAAGCCCGGCAGCAGCATTTTTATTTCTGCACATGCGAGCATCTTGAAGCATCTACGTGCCAAGAGTGAGTGGCTGTTGCACCCACATGCGAACCACTACGTTGGTGATCTCTGCTGGCCAAAAGGAACCGAAGACTCGATAGGAAAAACGACAGTGACAGACAGTACAGGCTTGCGAATTGTTCTACTGGCCTGTATGTAAATGGCGTCACATCCAAGCAAAACTGGGGTGAGTGCTCTTCAAAAAGCACACCGAGCTCACAGCCAGGGAGGGCCATGCCCAAGAGACACGAACAACACCGTAGTGATGTCACGACCCAGGAACCGCTTCTGCTGTAACGGAGGCCTTACAGATCCCTAACACAGCTGGCCAAATGCTGGCAGGCGCTCATTTCCTACTATCCTGCGTCTTTGCAAGATGTCGGCTGCATCAAATTCAGCGAGGGGTAGTGAGGGCAGGTCCGAGGTCCATGGGATTCCCATGGAACAAAGTGTGCTCAAGTGAGCACCTGTTGTCATTCACCAGCAACACCCTCTTGTTTGCTGTGCCACACTTGACCTTGTCTGGCCCCACGAACTCTGAACAGATGTCCACCCTGCCGACGACAACATGCTACTAGTACGACTAGTACTACTAGTACTACAAAGGCTACAAAGCGAGCCAGAGTCGCCCAAATGACCGCCAGCCCGAATTTTCCAAGGTCAGGGTATGCTCGAGCTGGGCCTCTGAAAGCTTCTGTGAAGACACCATCGCGCATGTCCGCGTACCGTAAGAGCTTAGCCCAGACCTTCCGGCACGTCTTCCGAACCGAGAAGGGTCCGGTCGCAATGTTCCTTGGCCTATACTTCGTGACGATGGAGAAGTCTGCCGCGCTGCTCCAGTCTCTTCTGCTGCAGATGTTGATCGGGTTGGCGACCAGCTTCTGCCGAATGAGATTCAAGTTGTTCCCTTGGGCCTTCTTGTTGTGGATGTGTGTGACAAAACGTGTGCGCTGCCCTTTGGCGTTGATGAGCAAGCAGCAATTGAACCAGTCGGGAAACTGATGTTTGCAGTTGTCGCTTGCCACCTGCCATAGAGCATTCTGCTTTTGACGCTGCGTCCGTTTCGCTGCGGTCGACAAATCTCGACCTATTTCTTCAACCTCGCGTCCACTTCAGGGAACAGCTCGTCTGACTCATACCCGGGATACACAAACGGCTCCAGGATTAGACAGTGGGTTTTGTAAGGCTTAGATTAGCTCATGCATCCGAGAGTCTCCCCGGATCGCATATTCGGGAATGACCAGCTTGGCATTCTCGCTGGTTCCCCCGCCTCTTGGACGGCAGACTTTGACAGTCCCGAAGCTTGGGGTTGTTCTGGTCTCTGGTCTGCGAGCAGGGCGGGTATCGACGCACTGCTGGTAGATGTCGCAAGCTGGGATACAGTTTCGAGCGTTTGCCTGAGATGTGCAGGGCAAGAAAATGGAATGGTATGCTACATGCAACAAGCAAAGCTAAGAGGAAATGAAACCGGGAAAGGCTGCTGGTTTACGTGACGGTCGCAACTCCTTAACTAGGACCTGCTTCTGCGGCCAAGTGACCGTGCTGCAGCGAATCAAGTTGTTGTTATTCGGGCAATTCGGAGGGCGTTGGCCCCCGCCGGGTCTGCCGGTTCCCCTGGCAGTCGGGCGGGGCCTCTTCGCCTGATCCAAAGGCAATTCGGGCAAAGTCGTTCCTATCCGTTCTTCGTCATGCTGATATCGATATAATGTGCTGACACCTGACTACTGGCAGACAACGCCTTTCCAAAACTGTGTTGCATTGGCATGTTGTCCGGGCACTCCGAGGGGACTTCCCGCAAATTGACCCATATTCTGGATGGGGCTCCTCTTGGAATTTTCGCCCTTACTCTGCCAGAACCCAACAACTTTGCACAATACTATGCTGTCTGACAGGTATTGAATGAACGGTACGCGGAAAATGCGGAGCACGAATTTTCCACGTCTTGGGCATTTTACAAGAAATCATTGTATTGCCATACCTTGGGCTCTTCGGGAAGATGCTAGGCCATGTGAAATACCAGACGAGCAAGCATTATCTGACCTGATTCCCATGATCATTTTTTTGAGAACGAGGCTTGCTTATGCCCAATAGCACCAATGCAGAACTGGCTTGAAAACACTTGATATCTTTTGCTCGTTGTTTTGTTTCTGCAGCCGTCGCTGTTTCTGTTGTTGTTGCTGCTGCTGCTGCTGCTGACAGTTCCAAATCTAGTCAACCCGAGTTCGAAAAGACCTGGATAGGGCTTTGGTGAGATCAAAGCTGCATGTGTGGCAAACGGTTTCTCGACCTATGCAAGCAACCCATGCGAGCGGCACTGTTCTTAATGGCGCAGGATGCAAGGATCGACGCGTATCAAACAACGGCAGCAGGACACTAGACTGTAGCAACCATCAATAGTGCGAGCAGAGGCGTCTTCAGATGTTGTTCCTCAAGCCGCTTTGACAGCCCTTGCCGCAATGATCAATCGCCGGTGAGTTGCCCATGTTCATGTCATCCAACTATCTTTGCACTCTCTGTCTGGGGTCGGCAGCTACAAACGTGTCTTAACGACTCACTAGGGGTCCCTGCGTATCAGAACTCTGCATCCGGCATTCCTGTGGAGATGGGGCCGTGGAGGTCACCATGTCGGGGTCGGATCGCTTGACGCATGGAACGTCGTCCTTTAGTCTTGAGCGCGCCTCGGAGATCTGAGCCATGGAGGACTTGCTCACTTCGAGCTTGGTCTCGTCGGGGCTTTTGTTGGCCGCCAAGGGAAACGGAAACCAGCCGTCATCCCCGTGAAGCTTGACCTGCTTTTGGGGCAGGTCGGGGCCAAGATAAGAGAGCAACTGGACACCCCAACAAGATTCAGTTCATGTTCGACAGCAACCCGTGGCCCGAACGAAGCACATCGTTCGAAGTTTCTGACAAATCCACCTAGCCCTGCTACTCAGGGTCCTGGTATGTTGGTCCATCCCGGCTTCTCTCCCCTCTGACAGGCCAGCTCTTTCAAAACCCACCTCGGACTCCCAGTTGATCTCCTCGTCGTCCTTCAAGCCCTCCACACCGTTGAGCACTTTGGCGGGAATGGTAAACGTGCCGATCAGGTCATCCGGCCGGCCGGTGTCTTCATCCCAAATCTCGCACTGCACATCCTCTCCCAGAACGCTGCACTCCACGATCCTAAACCTTGAACGATCCTAAACGTCCCTAGATCCTAAACTTTCATTCTCTTTGGGTTGTCCTCGCCAGCCTCCCAGGTCGATAGCCAGCCGTCACCACCCTGATAAGGGATGCAGGTCTCTTGAAAAACTGGCGTATCGTTTGGGACTTAGGAAACCTAACCGCGTCGACCATTTCGACGAACCCGTAATGTCTTGGGCAGCAGCACTCCTTTAAGGCATTGGTTGTCTCTGGTGCATCCGTGTCTAGATCGCACTTCCAGTTCAGGGGCAGGGGCTAAAGTTTAAAGGTCTTTCCAGCTAGCCGTTCGCACAGCTAGTGTGTGCCAATGTGCTCCGTCTGTCCTGCGTCCACACTGGGTTGGCGCCTGCGTCGTGCATAGTCTTCCTGAGCCAAGACAGGTTTGTCAACCGTGTTGAGTCAACAGTATGGGCTGTCATGCCTCCACCATAAAAGCAAAACATCGCTGGTTAATGCTATTCCAGCTTCGTCTGAAACTCGTCCTCGTCCTCATACTCATCTTTGCAGATAACGTACGGGTCGCTCTGCCCGAAGGTGTCCGTGTCAGGAAGGTCTGAAGCACTGTGCACGGAAATGGTGATGCCCTCCTCGTAAAGCTCTTCTAGCTCGTCCTCAGGGTTGTAGCACCCATCGACATCGGTGGGGTTCCAGTCGATCTTGCAGCGGCGACGACGCTCCACATTGCTGCAGTAGCCAAGCCGTCGGCGCCTTCGCATTACCGTGCTGCAGCAGTCCTGGAGGTTACCCTGCAGCATGCCATTGAGAGTCGTCCCTGCCTTTTGCACAATGCCAGTGAGCTTGTCCCCGTACATCTTCATGGAGTCCATGCACTCGTCGGTGAGCGAGATTGTGTCGCCAAGAGCATCAGAAGGTTGGCAGATGCGCTCCACGATCCGGTCGAAGAGGGGCTCCAGGAACTCCTTCGCCAGCAAGCCAATCGTTGCAGCGATGGGCAAGTCCCAAAGCACACCCGGGATCGCTGCGGCGATGCCGGCCGTGATGGCCGCTCCCATCCCTGCTGCTCCTATATCCGCATAGGCATCGCACACATTGTCGGCTATGTCAAAAATGCCCTCACAAAGCCAAGTGGTAAAGAAGCAGATGGAAAAGCAGTCGCCGCTTGTGCCGTCTGGCGTCAGCATGCTAGCCGGTGACATACATTCCTTCATCTCGATGGGATCAAGCTCAAAATCGAAGGGAAGAACATCACCGGGGGTAAAACGCCTCGAAGCATTGGATCGATTTGAAGACAAGCTTGCCATCACTGCATCCTTCATGCGCTTCTGAACGAGGCATGTTTCTTCCGGTGCTGCCAAGGCGGCACCCACAAGCGCAAGGAAAACCCGGAGTTCCCTCATGGTCTGCTCTCGGGCTGACGGGCTGTGGTGAAGCAAATGCCTGCACGAGCCCAGACGGCAACAGCACTCACAAGCAGAGCCATACATTGGTGGTGTTCCACTGGTGGGCAAGATCGAAGGAGCCTAGCACTCAAAGCCGCTTGCCCACCTGGTGCTCATGCGCACGGCCGGGGCGGCTGTCGGGCGGTGCTTGCCAAGCATGCTACTGGCTTATTCCAAATGTCTTTGGAAAGTGTCCGTTGCCAAATGGCACTTTCATGGTGGGAGCCTTTTATGGCCGCACGGCCACTCCGAGTTTTACGAGGCGTTCGACAAATGAGGCATCTGTATCTTGAAGCGTTTGTAGTGCAGCTTGTAGTGCTTACCCCTTGTTCCATGCTGTCCGTACTTCTTAATTTACAACGACAGCACTGCTTAAGAAATCGTTGGTTTAAGAAATTGAGCCCCTGGGGCAGCTGTGCGGCAAAACCAATTCGCAAGAACACGCAAATTGAACATACGAAATCCAGGGACCCTTTCAACAAACTGCATGGCCGGATTTGGTATTCCAAAACGGAGACATCCGGAAGGACGATTCCAAACCTCAAATAACCCCTCAAATTCTTGAATCGGTAAGCCGCTTCTAAGCCACGCCCACAACAAGAAACCGAGCCGGCGAGCCCCTCAGTTTCTTGCTTGGATAAGCTGTTTCTTGTATGACAAAGCCTTACAGCGGGAGTATTCAGCCCTTATAGAGTCACTAGAACCCTCCAAAGCTGCAACTCGAGCCTTATTCAGCAAATGTTAGTTGTGCCTAGAACCCCCCCAAAACAAGAAATTGAGGCGCTCAATTTTCTATTTTGGTTTTTTTCTTGTATGACAAAGCCTCATTAAAACCCTTATTCGCTTCTATCTTCGCCTTGTACAACTTTCAGAATCACAAAATACCAGTTTTTTTGTTTTTTTGTTCTTTGTGTGTATTGCAAGGTCTTGGTGTCTCAAACTGCTCAGCAGTAGGTTTAGGCGATTTCGGGCTTAGGGCACGCGCGGCCTCGGCCGGGATCCACAGCCTGCCGCACCATCTGTGCCACGCCTACCAAACAGGTAGGATCGGGCTGTTGGGTGCAAAATGCCGAGGACCATGTGGTCAAACGGAGCGTGTTTTATGGCTCAAGTGATGGATCTTTGGTGGGCGAGTGGACCGCATGATTGGTTTGGTCCCAAAATCCTCAGCTGGTCAACTGCATTGGTTTAACCCATCATTCTTGCAACTCATGCTGCTCTAGGCAACTTTTCGCTCACACCCCTTTGAACCTAAACGAGAAAGCAGCGAGTCTTGGTGACAAAGGACGGGTGTGAGTGCCTCAGCCGAATTTGTGAAGGCTTTGTCGATCATGGCTGCAAGAAATCTAACTTGAGCCGTCGACGGAACATCAACACTAAGTCGGCTCGTAAAACCTCACAAAGGTGTGCGTTCAGAAATTTTTTCGCAGCGCACAGAGGTGAACTTTGCCAATTCCGTCGCTGCTGTTCTGCTGTTGCAACGGTTCGCCCGCCCGGAGTTGGCTTCCACCAGGCATAACAACTTCAGCCGCTCGATCACTGTTTCTTTGCGAACTTGAGGTTCCTGCAGCATTTTGACCAACACGTGCAAAAGGGAAGCCCACTGCCGATGCTGAGCCGTGCTCAACGATCGCAATACCAGCAGCTTCAGATATTCCTGGATCTTCTTTATCTCGCCCAGGTCGGAAATCATGGTGGACTCCACTAACATCTTCCTATCGGCCCAGCCTGGCCGCTGCAACAGTCTGCTGCACCAAGGAAAGGCCGTCAGCTGCATAGTTCAATACGTCATGGCGAGCGGCAGCAGCAGCATCCACACTCAAGCAGTGCCGAAGCAAACTCTGGCAGCCTGCCCAGCGCAGACTCAGTCGCAGGTGGCCGCTGCAGAGAGTTTCTTTGCTTTTGACGGCCGTGTGAACGCGGTCCTTGTTTTCGCTTGCGAGCCTTCTCAGCCAAGCGGCTTTAGCCACACACCTGCCACGGGAGGTTTTGCTGCTTCGAGGTTTCAGCTTGGCAAAGTCTTGCAGCACACTCGTCAACTGTCGTGAGTGGTTCAAAACAGCATGCCGGTGCCACAGCAGTCAATGCGAGCGAATGGATGCAATCAGTCATTCAGAATCCGTCAGACAGTCAGGATTTCCTTCACCGCGCCTGTTTCGTTCTTGTTTGTTGAATGTGCAGGATTCCAGGTTCCTGGGTTGGGTTTCGGGCTTCCGGTAGCAAACCCTTCTTCTGTGGCTGCTGTCGCTGTGCACCTTTCGGGCACTCTCCTTTCGGCTTCAAGCAAGCTTCGTCTAAACTTCATCTGACTTCAGGCTCAGAGCTTCCGTGGCCACAAGAGCGTTGAAACACAAGGCCTCTTCCTGACTCCAGAAACCCCTCGCCTTCAGCTTCACGCACCCATCGCAGCTCGCCGCGGCTCAGCGCCATTGCCAGGCCGGCCAGACGCTTCCTGCCGCGGAGGCTTGGGAAGCTCGGACGTCGGAGCTCGCCTTACGCCTCGTGTGCAACCCATACGACCGTACGACCTGAAGAAGTACCCGTGATCCAGCCCTGGCGCTGACATCTACGCCTTTCCAATCTGCTTGACTCCCTGCCCTGCCCAGGTGGCCTGCTATCGGGCCACCTCCAGCGTGACCTTCGCATTTCCGGCGGGAGCCAGGACTTGAACTGGCCTCAGGACTTGCAGCTTCTTGTTGGGCATCAGGTGGCTCCATCACATTGCAGAACATACGCGAGAGTTGCCATGTCGCGAGACTGGGAAGACTTCAGCCAGCATCTGAGTTGACTTCTATTCGCTAAGAATACTCTCTGCGTCCGGGCTATGACGGAGGCGTGGTTTTGCGATTGCTGAAGCGCTCAAGCTTCTCTGTCGTTGCAGGATGTGCAAGACTCACCGCAAAGGGGTCTTTACTCATCGCGCGCATTCATTGTCACTCGTGGTCCAGAACACTGATTCATTCCAGATAGCACAATCTACCACAAGGAAAGTAATACTGAAGGCAATCAGTTCGACAACAACGAAACCAAGCGACAGTAGTGCCACTCCTACTCTCCTCCTGCTCCTTCCTCTGCGTGCTCCTGAGCTACTGCTGCCGCTGCAATACCAACGCCACAATGATAGTCAAGCTGGTGACGTTACAGTCCAGGACACTCATTTCGGGGAGATGGGGAACAACAAGAAATGCTAAAGTAACAGCATCGAAACCAGGAACTAGAGTAGCACCAGCGATGGTACATATGCTAAGAACACGGTTGAAGTGCTACGAGCCGCAATGACAGTGCAACCAACATCTACCGACGACGATCGAAAGTCTGCTTGCTAGCCTGACCATGTCTGATCAAAAGACAATTGAGGCAATGGAGCATTGCAACAGCACTAGGCGGAACCTCAATCGCAACAGGAGTGGCCATGCAATCCAAAGACGACACAAGAAAACAGAACTGTGCCGAGTGACAGGTCCAAGCGTGGCAGTTCTCCAAGCAGAAAATCGCCTCAAACCGGCCGATGGGCACCTGGAGCCTGGCTTCAGTGCCATTGCCATGTCGAGGACTGTCTGCCTGTCTCTCTGTCGCTGCTCGGAGCAGAACTGTGGCTTCAAAAAGTCAAAGCGGAAGGAAGGCACAAGAAACTCCTCTCCCCCATGTGTCGACATGACTCGTTTGAAACTGGCCAGCTCAGCCGACATCGAAACCATGTCTCAATCTCTAGGTCTCCCGGCAAGCTCAATGTAGATGCTAGCAGCTCGCCCGGCTCACTCACAGGCGTCCAAGGTGCCAACCTCAGCAGATGCCAGCAGGATGTAACGTGCATGACTGCCCAGTCTTGGGCCACAGCCGTTGCGCAAAGGCTTGCTCCCCAAATTTATACGTCCACAGTGCACGGCTCACTAGTCAAGCCTGTCTGTCTCTTCGTTCTGCGACAAATGAGCTTCTCCAGTCTGTCAACCCATGCTGACAATCCCGCAGACTAGAGCCAACAACCAAAATGAAGCGACATGTCCTCATCCTCCCCCGACAGCTGCACTGAGCATCACGGCCCTTTTTGGATGAGGCTCCATCGGCCCCAGTAAGCTTTGGCCATTTGACCTCAACATTTCAAGTCGTGCTTTTTGCTTTTTAATCCTTGAGGCCGAGCCGTACTATATCTTCTCTCTGCTGCTTTAACCTTTGTCCTAGGTATCGGTCTTGTATTCCTTGAGCACAGTTTCTGCCAAGCCAACCGGGTCACGTGGGACGATGGCGTGCCAATCGTTGACGATGAACCTGGCAGCAGTCTGTTCTGAATGATAATGGCTCCAATGAGGTCGGGAATGAGACTACGAAGACAAGGGCCCTTTGCAGAGACACCGATTTGGGAGAGCCCCCCGATGTGACTTCAGCAGCTCCAACGTCGGGATGCCTCCGAAGCATGGTGGAACCCTTCTTCGTCTTCTTCCCGTCTCGAGGCTGAATGCTTGGTATGCGATCTTGCCGGAACTGGTGACGCCAAGTCGCTGGGGACGCGTGCGGCATTGCTGTGTTTTAGGCGACAAAGCAAAACTTCCATTCGAAGGACGTGGGTACGTTCGCGACCGTGGGTGCATGCGTGCAGGAAGCGATACCTGAGAACTTCTATCAGCAGTGCACTTGTCAATGAAGCCAAGGCATGGGGAGCAGTTTTGTGCCAGAAGCGCATGTTCAACCGTGTCACCCCGCATTCGTAAAATCGTAAACGCAGCCTTCGCCTGGGTACCTGCTCTGCATCAACACCGAAGGTTCAAGCGCGCTGTCCAGATTTAAGCAGTCCATGTGTAGGATGGTTTTACTCTGGCGTCCTGCATCTCTCTAAAGTGGCTTTCAACATTGCGACCTACAGCCTT